CATCACAGGTGGCGATATGAAGTGACATTACACTGAGAGATTTAAAGAGATGTAGATCACTAGTGTAAATAATTGTAAGTTCTGTTTATGCTTATGTTTCTGTATTAACGATGACATCCCAAACGTTTTAAGATGAATAAAAATACGTTTCTTCGAAAATGTTTTAATAACGTATTTATCGTGTTTTCTGGGAACAAATTCCGCAACCTTTTTATAAAATGAAGTACTCTGATTTTCATAAAGCATAAACAAAAATCGGTCTTGTCTGGCCGTGATTTTGGGGATGTCACATATTAGCCATATTATACAAAGTTAAGCTCAAACTATGACAAACACAAGGAGTATAAAACCCCTAGAATTTATATCTACAAGTTTTTTTGCACTCCTTAATGTTTTCCTTTCATATTTGATCCATTGTCATAACATTTTTGTAATGCTCGGTTTCGAATCGCTTCATTATTCGGGACCGTGGCGCGATCATTAGTTATCATAAGGCTTATGTCCTTAGGGAAGAAAGGTTTAGACCCATTTGGATGTGGGTAATGTTGGTTATGTGATGAAAGGGTTTGGTTTGTGCTTTAGAGCCTAAGGGTATCGGTAAAGGCGTTGGTTCGGGCCTTTTATGAATTTTGGATTTGAGTTCGATTGGTTTTCAAGAAAAAGTAAGTTGATAGGAGTGTAGGGATTCTCTTTACCTTTCCGTGGATATAAAGAACGTCAAAAAAGGAGAAGGGATGAAAAAGTTATGATCATTTGAAAGTTAGAAGGGTCTTGGAACAAACGAGGTACACAGGGTGTACCAGGAGGGAGCACATGGTGTTCATGGGAAAAGTGGATGTTGGCACTTTTGGGGAACACTAGGCGTTCGTTGGGAACACAGGGTATTTGTAGGCTAGATGAAAACCCTAATTTAAGGTCTTGGACCCTATTTAAACACCTTAACTCACCTCCAACCCTCATTTTCTTAAGCCTCCATCCTCTCTAACCCTAAGAACGAAACCGTAGCCTCCATTTGAGTATTTCTTGAGCTTCATTGTGATTTTGTGTGTTCTTGGTGCTTGAGGAGGAAGAAGGAACTTCTTGAAGAGTCATTGCTTAACTTAGAGCTTTTAGATCCAGGCCTTGTACACCTAGATCTATCTTTTGGAGGTATAAAGTCTAAACCTTGATATATCTTTCATATAGATCTAGCTAAGTGGTGGTTCTTGTGAGTAGAAGTTACTCCAAAAACTTTGAGCTTCGTATTTAGTCCTTGTTAGGGTTATAAAGTCATAAAGTTTGGATCTTGATTAGTATTAACCTTCCATGCATGATTTGGTAGTCTTTTGGTGAAGCTTGGGACTTAGGGTTTTGATTTGGATCCCATTAATTCATGTTAAGTCATAAAGTCAGGAATTTTATGACTTAAGAAGTCCCTTTGAATTAGATTTGGAAGTTTGGACTGAGGTCTTAAGGTATTAAGGAATTTTAAGACATTTTGGAGTGATTTTGACCTTTGGAGCTTATCTTTGGTGTTAGGCTTCATTAAGCCATGCAAAGGCTTAAAGCCTTCAACTTTATGGATTAAGGCGTGTTTAAGATCTAGATCTGAGCGTTGGACGTCTTGGCTCAAGGAATCAAGACGTGTTCTAGGTTGGTTGTGGGCAGGGTCATTACGCGGGGCGTATCTCCTCGTACGTGGGGTGTATTGGGTTTCTTGGGTGTACGCTTTGCGTACCCATTGAGTACGTGGGGCATACTTAGCGATGAGATTTTGCATATTGGGCTTCAAGTTTGGGCTTTCTTTTGATCTTGGGTATTTGAGGTATTAATGGGCCATCTGAGTACAAATTTTTTAGACTAGGAAAGTGGACGGGCTTTAGGGTAAGGACCATGTAAGGGGTTCGAGCCCACTTGGAAAATTGGGCCATATTTGGGCCTTGGTTGATTAATTGGCCTTTGGGCCTTTCAGATTGTGAGTTTGGGCCTTAGTCTTGGACCAAGCTAGGTTAGGGGTAAAATGGTCTTTTTATCCCAAGTATGGATTTGTGGTTATGGATTGGAACCCAAATGTTTATTGGGTGTTGTTTTATTTTTGAAAGTTCGGGGATCTCTCAGCCAACAACCATAGATTTTCTATATGGTTCGACAGTGCGAGGTGAGTCTCCTTACTATGTTTAGTGGGTCGAAGGCACCAATACCGACCCATGATTTGTTATGCCTAGTATGCTTGTTGTCTGCATGACTCTTGCATGTGTTATGTGTTTTATGTTTACCGGGCGTGGCCCGATGCTAGGCGGGTCCTGATGAGTATATTGTACGTTATTTATTTTTATATGTTTTATGATTACTGGGTACGACCCGATGTCGGGCAAGGCCTGAAGGCTAGTCTGTATGCTATTTATCTCTATGATTATGTCATGTGTTGTATGTTTATATGTTTATATGCTTATACTAGGTGGGGTTCGATGCTAGGCGGGGCCTAATGACTGAAAGATCTGTTTACCGAGCAGAGCTCGATGCCGGGCGAGGCCCGATATTGTACGGGGTCCGATGTCGAGTGGGGTCCGATGAAGGGCGGGACACATTATGTGATTTTATGTATGTGTGGTATTAGATATCTTGGGGAACTCACTAAGCATTGTGCTTACGGTTTTCAGTTTATATTTCAGGTACTTTAGTTTTCAAATGGAAGAGTTCGGGATGATTGTAGAGCACACACCACATGTTTCTGCATTATGTGATTTACTCTTATTTGAGGATGTTTTGCTAAATCTTGATTACATTGGTTTTATGGAAATGATATGTATTAACGATTTATTAATTTAAAAACGAAAATTTTATGTCATTATTTTTGGGACGTTATGTTTGTCCGCGTACATTATTAATGTTAAGATCAAACAAATTCAATTCATTTTATAAAACATCAAAAAGTCATTGGTTTGTTGTATCATTTACATCTAAAACCCTTAAAAAGATTCATGGAATCTGTTTTTTTTTTTTTTTATTCTTTATTTGCAGTTGATAGGAGTTTCCATCCATTACGCTTTTCATTTTTTATGTTCAAACATTTAAATAGCCTAAATTGTTCCATTTAAAAATAAATCTGAAGACTGAAAAAGCATTTGGAAACACATCTACGTTCTTTAAGTTATGATACTTTTATTATGTTTTCACGTTAATAATTATACATAAAATAAACCATAATATAGAAACACCAATTTCTATAAAATAAATACTTAGCTATGTCCATGGAATATATTAATCTACATGCATGAACCAACTGCCAAGGTCACTAGATCATCACAATTTGTAAAATAAACAAGTGTTCGATAATTCAGTTGAATGTTGATAAAGTAAGCCTATATAAAGTAAGCCTAAAACTTGGTTTGATAGTTTAAAAACCAATCTAAACAAGTAAACTGTTAAACTCTTTCAATTTTCAATATACAAAGTATTTGTATAAATGGATAATTGGTCTATAGACCACAAGTTGTATGTATTTATATTCTTGAGCTTCATTATTTGTATGTGTTTTGTTTCAAGACCATTAGAATATAGAAAAGTTGTTTGGAATACAATGGTTGATAGAAATTAAGAGACAATTTCATGACAATTGAGATTCACCACACCAAAATGTCAAAAATAACAGCATGAAATAAGAATGAGAATGAAGATTCTTTCATGAATGCTATTGTATTCTTATAGTTAGAATATTGTTTTCAAGAATGGATCACTATAAAGCTTATATTCTAATAGAATGTGGAAAAAATTTCAAAAAATAACATTGTATTTTTATAGAATGTGACAGTAAAAATTGTTTATTTTTGGATCTTAGATTCTTCAATAATGTTAATAATTGATTATTATTTTTTAAGAATGTTGTTATTCTTCTACTCATGGTTCAAAAATTTATTATTTTTATCAGAATATGTATTCTGTTAGAATTTGTATTCAATTAGAATATATATTCTATTACAATATGTATTTTAAACTCTTGGTCCACGTTCATTCCTACATCCACACAATATTTATCATGCACATTATAACCTAGTGCTATATATATATATATATATATATATATATATATATATATATATATATATATATATATATATATATATATATATATATATATATATATATATATATATATATATATATATATATATATATATATATCATTACTATATATAAAAGCCCTTTTAATGTGGTGTCGTCTAGAAAAAACTCATAGGGTTGCATTACCTCCACGTAACCTACTCCCAGAACGACGCAACATACCAAAATGTCGTCTTCAATCCCTTTGAAACGTCAATTAAAATTTGCTGATCGTCGCATCCCATTAAACGGCTTTCGTATTCGTGGTGACCTTTTACTCAGTTTTGGAGGAATCTTATGACGCCACGTAACCTCTGTTTGTGAACGACGCCATAGACATCCAAACTCATTCACACCGCCTCATGCTGACGGTGATGCGTCAATTTACCGCTGAGGATTTTATTCTTTGAATGAAGAGTTTAGATGGATTTGGAACCGGTAGATGCGAATGGACACACCTTTTTATTGAGACGGTGGTTGTATTCTGATTGTGTCCATTCCCTGCCTATAAAATGCATATACATCTCAAGGCTCAACATTTGAGTCTATTGGTTCCATACGCTCATGTTTCCCACCAACGTTGTATCCTCACCTGGTGACAGATTCTCATACTCCTTGTTATACCACCACCGCTCCTCCTCGATAAGTCTTTTAATGTTCAATTTTGAATGATTTCTTGTTTTTTTAGGTTATTTTGTAATTGCAGAGAGATAAACATAGATAGAAGCATCGTATAATGTGTGAGATGGGTTTGGAGAAGAACATATGGCGTGAAGTTAAATAAAGGATTCAGTGTGTCCTACACTTCACAAATGAACCGGTAGAACGCATTGAAGGGGCGGCACACCTTTTTTTATCTGAGACGGTAGTTGGATTCGGAATCGGTGTTGATTCCTCCCTATAAAACGTTAACCCTGATCATGAATTTTACATATCAACATTTGATCCATCGGCAACCCCATCGTTATGTCACCTCCCACAGTCAGACTCCTCTCTCCCCTGTTTGCAATCCCAAATTTGCTAATCATGAATTTTGTTTTTTTAGGAGACTAATTAACCCTTATGTCATCGACTTCCCTTTGGTAATATCTCGCTTAAAACCAACCACCGTCTTTTTCTTTGGACTCTCAAAATTTGTTTTGGTTCCAACATTCTTCATTTGTACGATCTCTCTCTCTCTCACACACACACACAATTAACCATTTGAACAATCCATCTATGCATTTTCTATATGTATTCATAACAATACGTTCTTTTCAGGAAATACTGAATGATGAAGATGAGAAGATTGCAAGGCTGAAGGATGAAAGCAATGAGAATGTGTGTAATGCAGTTGTCACAAAAACAAACGAATGAGTAGGATCCAAGCGGGTATATATCCATTATTAGATTTTTAGAACCAAAAGGTGAACAGATCGGCAACATTGAAAGAAGAAGTGAGATTTATCTTAATGGAAATTATACAAAGAGAAGAAAAGGTTCAAGAGGATTACAACTGGAAAAGTTGATTAAAGGTTAGTTTAGCATATTAAGACTCCTACAATGATGGGTTTGTTGATATTTTGTAGCTACATGTTGACTTCTTTTTACTGTTCATATGAAATTTGTCTAATATCAAAAGAGGTGATCAATTTGATTTCATTTTATGGTTTTTAATAGTTTAACATGAGAGATATTCATATGTGAACAAAAAGTTTATCTACTTGCTTGGTCAACAACCCTATTTTGAGTTATTTGACTCTTCCTATCAAGTCCTTAATATTGGTGCAACAACTTGACCTTCAGAACACATTATTTGTAAGCCCTTGGCATATCACGCTCTAAGTGACCTTTTTGATTCCTTTGTTAAAGTTTTTAATATAATTAATTAATAATTGTTTGTTATTATTATAGTGATTAATTTTCATGAAATTTATATATGTAGGCATTAATCAAGTACATTCGTGTTTCTATAACAAGTGCAGTACAATTACTATTGCTGGAGTTGTGAAGGAAGTTGCTACAATACTGGTATGACATCCTCTTTAAGTCAAAAAGTGCAATGGCTTAATTACAATAGAAATGAGTTGATTGGCTAAATCAATTGAATGGTATATCGGATTCCTTAAACTAATGCAAAGGTTTGGTTTCTAATTTTTACATATAACCATTTTTGTTCATTTGATTTGATTATTAACTGTTTTGGAACTCAATTTCTTGACTTTTTATGTATATGGTTAGTAAATTTATTTCGGTGTCTACTTGTTGGTTTATTTTTTTTTGGTTTTTAGGAGCAATATGATACAATGGTGGTTATAAGAACTTGACACATATCTTTCATCATAAGAAGAAAAATGGAAAGATGTTGAAATCTGCAAAAAAAGAAATTCTAATGAAAAATAGCTTGAGAGGATTAAATGCTAGAAATAACATAATTTATGCATCTACTTTATGCAATTTATCATTAGCCGGTAGAATTAATATAATTTACGCAATTGCCATTAACTGACTTTTCATTATTGCTGTAAAGTTGTTGCTGGAAGATGCAAGTGTTCAAAGGCCACTCTAATACACCACCAACACCAAGGGAGACTTTTCCTTTTCTTTTAATTAGTTTTGATGCATTTTTCCTTCGGTTGTTGAATTGGTGTTATGCCTCACATGCCACAGAGATGTATGCTTGATTTAAAACCCAAATGCTCATTTTTTTTTTCATTTTTTAAAACTTTTAACTTTTTTTTCCAGGTTATTAAAGCAACTTATCAAGCCTTGAGCTCTCTGAAAATTGGATAGCACTTACAAATATTTTGTCATTAAGAAAAAAACCTATAGCTAAAGTTTTTTTTATCAACATAGTAGAAATTAAACCTTACAAATTAAATTATAACTTAATTTTCTTTTATGTTTGTGATCTATCTCTACATATTTTGGATAGTAGTCATTTTTAGGTATAGGAGGGGCTGTCAAAGCTATGTTAATGCGAAAATGCAATGTACCTTTAAATATTTGACTACTATAGCATTTGACTTTCATTTTTGTAAATAAGGTGTAATGGATTGAAAGCTTATTGATTATAAAATTGAACTGCAATGACTTAGTGATGACACAAAACTTTTGCTAATTATTAAAACTTAAGCAATGGAAATGTAAGTTTGGCTATTATTTTTTCTGTTGGTTAAACTTGTGTTACAAATAGTAGTATAATTTTCAATTTATGGCAAATGTATAGTATTTATATTAACAAGGAAATTTAGGCTAAAACCTTTTGACATTAATTTTGATTATATAAGCATTTTTTTTATTGAAGACATACTTCTAAAACCTTACTTGTTATAGCATTAGTCTTTCAATCATGCAATCTCTTTTAGGAAATACCAAAATTACCCTTCATGGGTCGTACTTAGCACGGGCCTTAAACGTATCTAGTATATATATATATATATATATATATATATATATATATATATATATATATATATATATATATATATATATATATTGAGGTTCATTTGAGACCATTTTAATTTTATGAGACCGTGTGATCTAATCTAAAAATAGTTTTAAAATGCAAAATAAATGGAAAAATCCAAAAAAAAAAATTAATATTATTTTCGCAACTTGAGTTAACTAAAAAAATATAAAAAAATTAAAATTTTTTAAAAAAAATTAAAAATAAATAAATAAATTCCGTTTTTTTTTTTTGAAAAATACATGAAATATTCTAATAGAATATTACGTTGTACATATTCTAAAAAATAATTTTAAAATGAAAACTAAATGGAAAAATCTAAAAATTCTGTTTTTAAATATTATTTTCGAAACTTGAATTAACTAAAAAAAAATCCCGTTTTTTTTGAAAAATAAATGAAATATTCTAATAGAATATTACACTGTACATATTTTAAAAACTAATTTTAAAATGCAAAATAAATGGAAAAATCTAAAAATTCTTTTTTTAAATATTATTTTCGGAACTTGAATTAACAAAAAAAAAATAAATAAATAAAAAAAATGCGTCTCACAAAATATAGGTGGTCTAAAATGAACCTAACTATATATATATATATATATATATATATATATATATATAATAATAATAATAATTCAAAAAGGTTAAGAACTTTAAAAACTATTTTTTAAATGTTTTTATTAAGGCCAATTTTGATAAATCTAACATTTATATTGGATTAAACAAACTTTTTCATTCCTTAATTTACAACAAGTTATCACTATATATATATATATATATATATATATATATATATATATATATATATATATATATATATATATATAAGGAATGGTTCAAATAATAATTCAAAAAGGTTAAGAACCTTAAAAACCATTTTTTAAATGTTTTTATTAAGGCCAATTTTGATAAATCCAACATTTATATTGGATTAAACAAATTTTTTCATTCCCTACTTTACAAGAAGTTATCACTTGCTGTCGGGCCACTGTCGGACCGCTACCAGAACGGCGTCGGACTTACACCAAATTCAGTGATATTTTTTCTGGTTGTATTCAAAGTTAATAAAACAAAAATTATAACCCTTATTTTTTTGGTAATATTTTTTTAACACATACAATTTCATCTTTGAAGGGAAATATAAAAAATTTAATAAAAAGTAAATTAGGCTTTCACAAATTCAATTTTCTCTTACTAAAGTCTAGATTTCTTTAAAAAAAAATGTATCGCCTATAAGACATATTCACAATTTAAAATATCATATGCACAGTTTAATAGACATATTAATTTACTAATATGCAGTTTAATATTATCATGCATACATTCATTAATATTTTAACACAAAATTTATATAATATATACAACATAATACAATCCATTTTTAGTTTAATACATAAAATTCACAACATAATACAATTCATTATACATTAATTCAGAAATTCAAATAAGTGAAACTCAAACTTTACCACCACCACTAACTACCACACGCCACCACCAAACACCTATGCCACCTTTGCAATCATTATTTCTTTAAAATCAGATTTGTATATAAAAAATCATTAATTGACATCTTAAATAGTAGATTCACAATTTAATTAACCAATTAATACACTTATTAAAAGTTTAATGCAAAATAATTCTAAAAACTAATACAATATTACATATTTATATAACACAAAATAAATATATTCATAATAAATTAATACTAACAATTAGACATAAATTATTAATATTTCAACACAAAAGTCATTAAAAAAATCAAAGCTTAATATAGTTAATTCACAGTTTAATATACAAAATTCACAATTTAATATAATAAATTCACAGTTTAATACACACAAATTATAAATTCATAACCATATTATCAACTTAAAACTTATATTTATATATTTAAATGTAGAGCCTAAGACTTCTTTTGAAGTTTATTTATACGATATTAATAGTTTAAATTTCGCATGATTTATTGAAAACTACGTAAAATTGTATATCTATATAATACTTATTTCATCTCACATTTCATAAGCAAATACAAAATTCATAAAGAAAAAATTCACAAATTAATACTACCAATTCATAATTTAATAAACAAAATTCACAACTTAATACACTTAATTTACAGTTTAATACACAAAAATTACAATTTAATACAATTAAATATGTCTTCATTAAATGATATTAGATTTGTGAATTGAAATTTTTTGTTTGGCGTACATAATTTTTCTAACATCCTACATCATAAAAATATAAAATTCATTAAAATTCAAACTTAAAGTGAAAAATGCATTTTACTATTCAAGTTCTATTCTTATCACTTTTAATACACACTCCAAAGATCATTCTTTATTAAATTTAACTAAATATAAACTTTAAATAAAGGAACAAATTCTTATAATTATTATAAATTATCTATATAACAATTACATTATAATATATATTATATATTATATTACGTAAGTATATTTATATTATTTTATAGTATATATTACATTATATAAATATGTACTTTACATATATTTGTTCTTTATTTATTACAAAGTAAAAAAACAATATTTAAGATATCTGAATATCAATGGCAAACACTATTCAAATATTACATGTATTCATGAGCAGTAAAAATGATAATAAAAAGGCATGGTTAAAAAAAAATATATGGCGTGAATGCGTGATGCACTAAAATTACAATTGCTCACTCTTTTATTATTATTATTATTATTATTATATTATTATTATTATTATTATTATTATTATTATTATTATTTGTGATGTCATTTTTTACAAGGCTCTAGAGTAGTGTTTAGTTATGTCTTTTTTCCATAAATACAAATAATTTACAAATTCAAAAAATAATAATAGATTTTAGGTTATTCACCTATTAATACACAAATTTTATACATTCATTAACAGTTTAATATACAAAATGAATATATTATTAACAGTTTAATTTACACTAGATATATACAAAAAATTCTAACATTCATTAGTAATATTTTATTTAAAAAACAACTTATACAAAAAAACTCGCATATCAAATTTAAAATATTTACAGTTTAATAAACTTAAATATTCACAATTTAATACACTTATCCAAAGGCAAATCTTCAGAAAAATACTAAAATTCTAGTCAAATTTATGAAAAAATCTCAAACTAAATTTTATTTACAGAAAAGCACAAATTACCTGTTAAAACTTCGATAAAACTCTTTTCACTCGGTTTCGTAGATTTTGCCAGTATTCTGTGCTTTTTCGTTAGTTTGCTCAAAATTTTAGGACTTTTCCAAAAATTACATAATAACCAAAATATTGGGACTTTTTTAAAATTACCATTAAATTAATGGATATTATTATTAACAAATCATTTATAAACATAAAAAAATATATTTTTATTATAAAAAGAAAATACATTTGTTGCTAATTTTTAGGAATAAATCGGTGGTCTAAGTACTCTATTGCTTCCTGACCACTCAAACTCTCTACATTCTTCCTATGCATTGTTGTGGGTATGATGACGAGATGAACTTAGTTACCATTCCTCTAATGCTTGTGTTCCTATTATGTTCTTTAACCTAACTACAAACCAACATTCATACCTTACATGTTAACAAGAATCGGTTAACACATATATATAAAATGTGAAAAGTGAACCGTGAATGATAATTTATATGGAAACAAGTGAAGGGTTATTATCTATTTAAATTGTCATTTAAAGTTATTTTTCGCTCTCGATAGATGTGTGTAATTTTGGTTGTTACCGGGTAATGTTTGGAGGTTAGGTGGTAGTTAGGTTAAAGAACATAATGAAAGATCTATATGTTTGTGTAATGATATTTTCTAATAACACGTGATCATATAACATCATACCTAATAGCAAGTAGACACTTATTAATCGTGTATTAATAAATATTATAAATTCTTGTATTGGTCACACCTAACAGAGTACTTTTCACTATGACACCTACAACGATACATAGGAAAAACATTGAGACTTTGAAGTGATCAACAAACAATAGAGAAGTACATAGTTGACCATTTTATTCCTAGAAATTAGCAACAAATGTATTTCCTTTATTTATAATAAAAAAAATTTTATTTATAAATAATTTGTTAATAATATCCATTAATTTCATAGTAATTTTAAAAAAAATCATAATATTTTGGTTATCGGGTAATTTTCAAAAAAATCATAATATTTTGAGCAAACTAACGTAAAAGGACAAAATACCGGCTAAATCTACGAAACCGGTCAAAAGGTTTTTTTCGAAGTTTTAGCTGGTATTCTATGCTTTTCTTTGAACAAAAATTACTTCGGGACTTTTTCATAAATCATAATAAAATTTTAGGACTTTTCTGGAGATTTCCGCTTATCTAAATATTCACTCATAATTTAAAATCTTATATGTTTCATTTAATCCATGTTATTAATGTTAATAGTTAACACATCAATACAATAGGTAACAGCATCATCTATTTATATAATATAATAATATTTACGATCAGTTGTTATAGACTAGCATGAAACATAATTTTTGAAAATTTTTATGTCTGTCGTGTGATAGACTATATTTACCTACTGTTATGGCATTCATTTTCATTATTAT